AATTTTTTTTGTTTTTTAAAATAAAAGATGAAAAGACAAGAGTGAAACACAATGTGATATTCATTTGAATTAAATGATAGATGAGTTTAAAAAAATGGGAGAGAGAGAGAGAGAGAGAGAAAAAGAAAAATATTTACAAAAATAATGACAAATCTTTATTTTATTTCATTCTCTCTTTCTATTCATCTCTCCATTTATCCCTCTTTCTTTCTTTCTTTCTTTTTCCCTCCCTCTCGCACTCTCCGTCTCTGTCTCTTTCTTTCTTCCTTTTCTTCTTTAATAGAACATTTTTCTCATGAATAAAATCCAAAAAATTATACAAAAAAGTGAAAAAAAAGCTTTATTTCTAATGTAAATGAAATTAAAAATGCAATAATTGTAATGAAAGAGAAAATTACGAACAATGAAGACAAAGAGAGAGAGAGAGAGAGAGAGGGAAAGGGAGAGAGAGAGAGGGGAAAAGAAAGATACAGTAATGAATGAAAATATCATATGTGTTCACATAAAAAGAAAAAATTTAAATATTTTTTTTTTTTTTTTAGAAATGAAATGAATGACTGAAAATACGTTAATATTCTGAAATGAAAATATACTGAAATGGAAGGAAAAGAAGAAAAAAAAAGTGAAATGATAGAGAATGAAAAGATAAATTTTTACAAATATAAAAGACATTTCAATCTTTTCTCTCTCTCTCTCTCCCTCTCTCTCTCTCTCTCTCTCTCTTTTTCACTCTTTTAAATTCATAAATAAAAAAATAGACATACTACTACATTCATTCATCGTTACCATATTATCATAACAAAAAAAAAAATTTATATATATCTTACATAAAATTCAATTGTTCATTTGAAATTATAGCCTAGAAAAAAAGAAGGGAAGAAAAATAATATTTTTAAAATATTATTTTAGAATAATAACTTCAACTTATTTATTTGGAAGACAAAAAAAAAAAAAAACATTCAACCTGAAATTTAATACTGTCAAAAATTATTATAAACATTAAATATTATAGCAACATACTTCTTAAAATACATCACAAAATACTGAATACATTAAAAAAAAAAAAAAAATTATTAAAATAAAAATAGCAATTGCACCTGTAGCATTTATTTATGAAATTTGACAGAAAGAATGAAACTTTTATTTTTGACTTTTTCTTTTTAAAAAAAAAAAAAATGTGAAATCTGATGAGATCACTTGAATTTGACTGTAACATATACATCATATATATTTATTATTTATTTATTTACATATAAAAAGGCGTCTTGAATAATTAATGATATGAAATTTAAAACTTTTTATAAAATATAGCAATAAAAAAGGAATCAAAAAAAAAAAAAGAAAAAAGGAAATTACTCTAAAAAGTTTCATATAATCAGGAAAAGATTTCTTCTGTTTCATATAACCGGAAGAATAATGAATATAATATAAAGTATTTAATTTGATTTTTCATCTTTTTTAAAAACAAAAAAAGCTATAATTCATTTTCATATTAAACAATTTTTTTTTCCTTTTTTTGTAACCATTCATTCAATCTTAAAATACTAATACAAACTCTCAATTTGCTTAAAAAAGCAGCTTAATCTGACCATCTGTCGTTGTTCAAATCTAAAAAGCAAAGAGGAAAAAAAAAAAATTCAAATTATTCCTCTTATATATGCCTAAATGATTCATTTCATCTAAGGAAATCACACCAGGTAGTACCATATAAAAGCTTTTTTTTTCCCTTTCCCTCTCTCTCTCTCTCTCTCTCTCTTTGATGTTTATTTTCATTAAATAAAAAACAAAAAAAAATACACTTTAAGAATATTAAAATTTAAAAAAGGGAAAGAAAGAAAAAAGACATTTTGATAATAATTGTAGAAATTTTGTCTTACTGAAAAGTTAAAAAAAAAATATGTAAATTAAATTTTCATCCTTTCTAATATTTGATAAACATTTAAAAAATAAATTTGTGTGAAATATTTTATTCATTCATCATTCATTTATGCAAATAAATATTATTTCATCTTTTTTTTTTTCCCTTTTTCATACAAAATTTGAAACAATATTTTATTGATTAAAAAAAAAATTAAATAAAAAGGATAATTTGATTAATTTATCAACTATTTCAGTAGATAAAATCTCTTTTTTTTTTCTTTTTTCTTTTTAAACTGTAAATGAAACAAACAAACAAACAAACAAATAAAACAAACAACAGTTCATATTAATGAAGTCAACAATTGGACTAAATTTTGATATCAATTTTAATTAGTATATATAATAAGTACTTATTAATAATCAATCTAATTTTATTCAAATAACACAATAAAAATTTGTAAGCTAATAATTAATTTAGCTAGCAAAAAAAAAAAAAGAAGGAAAAGGAAAAGATCAAAGATAAAATGATAAAATGTAAACAACAACAACAACAACAAAAAAAAAAACAAAAAATAAGAGAAAGATCAATTTTAAAAATTTTTCATGATAATAATACTGATGATGAAGCATCACGTTGAGCTTGCAGCTGTGCTAACAATAGTTGCGCTAATTGAAAACCCGTCATCGAACTATCGTTATTTACGTTAGCACCCATTGTTGCTGCTAACGTTGTTGTTGATGTAACTGCTGTTGTTGTTGTTGTTGTTGTCGTTGCTATTGTTGTTGTTGTTGTTGTTGTATTCATGCTATTTGTGAAACATTTTGATAATGCTGACTCTTCTAACATTAAATTCATTTCTTTTCCCAACAAATATTTTGATGGATTAGCATTATCTGAAATATAAATGTATAAGTAAACAAATAAATAAAATAAGTATATGTTACATGTAAATATTATTAGAATGAAATAATTAAAAGATTAATTAATGGTAAAATACGAAAAAAGATGTTTCGGCAATAATTTCTAATAAAAAAAAAGTGAATAATGAAAACAAATAAATATATGTACATGTAAAATATTATTAAAATGAAATAATTTAAAAAAAATAATTGATACTAAAAAACAAAAAACGTTCATTTTTAGTTAAAAAAAGAAATGAATTATAAATGAAATTATAGTAAATCTGAATGTTATTTAGAATTTGTTCAATATTAAATGATATTTTATTAAATTTTCTAAATTAAATTTTCATATATTTATACAAATCACTAATCATTAAATAGTGATTTAAAAAAAAAAAAATAATGAAAATTATTTACTGTAATTCATAGCAGTAAAAGATTCACTTAATTCCTCATCATAAAAATTTAGCTATACTTAATCAAAATTAATTTAAATTTCAATTTATATATAGAAAATAAAAATTAATATATACTTGTTGAAAATGGCGCTATTGTAGGAGAAGCAATAGCATCATTAGTAATATTTCGATTTAACAAATGACCAATATCATCCGTCCTTGACCTTTTCACCTTTCGACTATCCTTATTTTCTTGATTTCTAAAATATAAGTCTTTTTTCTTGGAGAGAATAAATAATCCTCTTCAATTTACTAATTTTTATAATTCAATTCAAATATTTCTTTCTTTCTTTCTTTTTTTTTTTTTTTTAAGACGATATAAATTTGTCACATTGAATCATATTTCTATTTAATTTAACTATAAAAATATTAAATTGACAAAAAAAAAATAAGTAAACTTTATGTAAATGAATAAAAATCAATGAAACATTGAAATAACTTTGGAAAAAAAAAAAGGAAAAAAAAGATTGTCAAATTAATCCAAATGTTTCATTGTAACATATAGAAAGATACTAACAATTTAATTTATTCTAAAAGTATCCTCTTGGGATTTTTTAAGAGAAGAAAGTGAAAAGGAGAAATAGACAAAGAGAGAGAGAGAGAGAGAGAGAGAGAGAGAGAAAGAGAAGTAAACGGATAAACCAAAACATAAAATGATTAAATTAAATATACACATACACACATACTACATTTTAAGTAAGTAAATTTAACAATGTTTATACATTTTCATATCAAACTGTTAATGACATTTTAAAAGTATGAATGAAAAAAGTTGATATAATTAAATTTATTTCAAATAGAAATAAAAGAAATTTACACATACATAACTTTCCTCTCTTCTCTCTCCCTTTTTAAATTATTGAAACTTTTTAATCAATCATTTTATCAGAATTTACTAATGAAATAATATAAATGATAAGAAAAAAAAAAGGACAGAATGTGAAAAAATTTGACCAATCATTGAAAAAAAGAATTTATGTAAACTTTCAGAAAAAAAAATTTAAAAAAAAAATATATTTCTATATTAATAATTTAAACGAATTATTTTTTTTTTTTACAATGAATGACTTAATTTAATCAAACAGATGACTAAAAAGTAGTATTATACTTTAAAAAATATATATATATATATATCAAAAATTAAATTATATTAATGGAAATTTTAAATTTTAATTTTATTAAAAATAAAACCTTTTTTCTGTAAATTTTTGATTACATTTTCGAAGTGTTAAATCAAGTGGAATTTCATCTGTAGTTGTTGCTACAAATTTATTATTGTTAATTGAATGAATTGTTGTTGTTGGTGGTACAATCATCATTGATACATCATTGATATGATTAGAAGATGTTGAAGGCGCTGCTGTCACCGTCATTTGATGTGACATATGACGCATACCTGTAAAATCAAAAAGAAAATTATTATTATTATTATTAATTTCATTTGATTACATTAATTTTTTCACCAAAAAAAAAAAGAATTTTTTTCTTTTTTAATTTAATTTAATTTTTTTTTAAAAATTATTTCATTTTGTCTCGTCCCATATTCTTTATATATATATATCAAATATTAATAAATTGTATTATTGGAATGAATTGAAATCAATTAATTCAAAATGAATTTGTATCATTTCATTTTACCTTTTCTTTTTAATACTAGAATTTTATTTAAAAAAAAAAAAAAATACATGGTCTTATTTTATTTCAAATATTATTAACATGAATTGTATTAGAATGAATTGAAATCATTTAATTAATTCGAAATGAATTTGAAATTTATTTTCATTTCTTACTCTTCCGTGCTAATTTCTGCTGATAAGCAATTGGACAACCAGATAAACTTCGATGTGATGTTCGATTACTATTCACATGACCTTTACCTGTACAACCTGGTGTTGTACAACGTAATACCGTATCTTGTTGTAGAGCTAATACTGAAAAAAAAAAATTTTTTTTTAAATTTAAATAAAAAAATATTTTTGATTTAAAAAATAATTATAACTTTCTGCATCATTTCTTTTTTTTTTTTCCTTTTTTACTTTACCTATTATTATCATCTTGTATCCTTCAATTATAACAGATATTTGAACAAAAAAAAGACAGAGAGTAAAGGAGAAAAAGGGAGAGAGAGAGAGAGGGAGGGAGAGAGAGAAAAAAAAAGTAATAAATTAGTTCAAATTAAGACATATGGAAAGTACAAATTTGAGGGGAGACAAAAGAAAAGTGACGGAAAGAATAAAAAGAAGCGACATGTCGTGTCCAAGGTCAATGATTAGTGTCACCAAAAAAAAATTTTTTTTTTTTCTTTTCGTTTTCGCTTTTCTTTTTCCTTTTTTTTTTGCATACTATAATCAACGGAACAATTTCAATTGGATAATCATTACCATTAACATAAAGAAAAAAAGAAAAAAAAAATGCTAATCATACCGTAATCGCACATTATAATCAATGATTTAACTAACTAACTTAAGTAAGTAAGTAAGTAAGTAACCTAAATAAGTAATTAACCTAACTCTAACTAATAAAACATAAAAAGCTCTCCGATTTCATTATTTCTTTAAATGTATCAATGATGATCATTTCCTGTATAATGGGATAAAAAATTTCAATCTTCTTTTCTTCTTTTGTCGGCATAAATTAATGAGTTAAAAGAGAGAGAGAGAGAGAGAGAGAGAGGGAGAGAGGGAGAGAGAAAGAAAGGGAGAGTAAAAGGAATATGCAAAATTTCAAAAGATAAATTAAAAAAAAAAAATGGGTAATAAAAGTATTCGTGCATATGTATGATGAGATTAGAATAGTTTGAGTTTTAAAATATACCGACAATTGATATGAAATTTCAATGAAATGATCAAATATTAATGAACTATCAAATGGATAATTAATTAATTAATTAATTAAGATAAAAAAAATGAAAGCTTTTCGATCAAATAATAAATTATTTACCAAATAAATTCATCAATAGAAATGCGGCATAATTTCGTTTTTTTTTTCTTTTACTTAAACATTCATTTCAATATAATTTCAATGAATTTTTAAATTACAAAAAATTCAAATTTATATAGCAAATTTCTCTTATATGATTGATAAATTTTTTTTTTTTTTCCTTCATGAAAATTTATACGTTGAAATATTTGAATTAGTTAGAAGAGAATAAAGAATAACAAAAATTTGTTCTCATACAATAATTATATATTACTTTATAATTACTATATTGAAAAGAATAATTAGATAGCACTATTAAATGATAACTTGTGTGAAGAATAAAAATTGAGCAAAAAAAAAAAAATAAAAAAATTATAAAAAGAAAATTTATATAGCGAAATTATTTAAAGAATTTTTAATAATATTAACAATTTTCTCTCTTTTTCTTCTAAAAAAAAAAAAAAAAAAAAAAAAAACATAAATATGAAAATTAAGATTACAATGAAGTTTTTATAATATTAAATTAACAGTTTTATTTGTTTTTCTTTCATTTAAAAAAAGAGAAAAAAGAAACATTTGTATAAAGAAAAAAGATAATTTAAAAAAAAAAAAAAGAATATTATGCTCAAAACGATATGACAAATTTTAATTAGTAAACTTCAAACAAAAAAAAAGAGAAAAAAGAAAATCAAGGTAGCTTAATGATTATTGACAAATGAATGATATTTGATGAATAAAATGGTAAAACGATCTTTAATGATTGACCATCTGCTCCTTTTGGCTTATTAATGACAACGAACTGACCATGCATGGCATAATTTAAAGGAAGTGACAACGACTTTTTATGCAAATGCGCTTTTGGTCAACCGCAATTGAATCTGTTTGATAGCGGTCGCTATTAGGTCAAAATTAACTCTTCTGACCTATCAAATAACATATATAAATGATAATTAACTGATAATAAATAAAGGAGAGAGAATAAAGACAGAGAGAGAGAGAGAGAGAGAGAAAGAATTAACACCAAATTTGAAAAGTATGAAAAGAGTGAAAATGAATGAGAATGAAATTTAAAAAAAAAAAAAAAATTAAAATTTTCATAAAAAAGCGGTGATTTGATAAATTTTTGTTTTTTTCCTTTTTGCATTTATAAATCTTTCTTATTAGTTTTATTGTTTTCTTTTTTTTTTTTTTTAATACATATAATGATTTATTGAAATTGTAAAAAGAAAAAAAAAAGTAGCAATAGTAAAAAATAAACAAACAAACAAAAATAAACAAACAGAAATATTCCATGAATCATGGATTTCAATAAAAAAAAAAAGTTTATTAAATTTTATGACTTTTTTTTTTTCAAATCAATTTTAAATTTATAATTATAAATTAAGAAATATCTTTCGTTTTCCCCTCTCTCTCTCTCTCTCTCTCTCTCTCCCTCTTTCTCTTCAATTACACTGAGAAAGAAAAAGAAAATTTGATTTCATCTATAAAAACTCATCCATCATAATATATCTTAAACAAATTACTATCCATATTTCGAAATTAGCAACAAAAGCTATCTATGAAGAGAGAGAGAGAGAGAAAGAGGGAGAGAGAAAGGGAGAGAGAGAGGGAGAGAGAGAGAGAGGACAAAGAGATTGTCAAATGGATTACTTTAATTATATTTTCAATAAATTACGAAATCATTGCGAAATGAAATCAATAAATTTGACTCACATTGAATTGTTGATTTATCTGGTCGTCGTGGACAACCCGAAAGACTTCGATGATGTGTGTACAGGCCTGTTTGATGGCCTGAACCATCACAGCCTGGTGTTGGACAAGTTAGTTTACCTGATTCTGTAAAGTGGTACTTCATTCTGGTAGTAAACAAAAACAAAGCAAAATATAGTATACACTTATAATAATTGTAGGATAAATAAAGTTTAAACAAGTAAAAAAAATTTTTTTTTTTGAAATTTTGTGATAAAATTTGAATGTAAAGATTTTAATTTGAAATTTTTCATTAATTCATGCTAAAAAAAAAAAATATTTTAAAATTTAGCAATAATATTTAGGAAACTATTCTCGATTTTTTTTTTTTTTTGTAACTAATTTCTCGATCAAATCTTACTAAAATTTATTTTTCTTTCTTTCTATGGAAATTAAAGAAATTTTTTTTTGTTTTTTGAAAGCAGTTAGATTGAGAATTGTTTAAATTTAAAAATTAATTTGAGAAATCATTCATTTTTTTAAGACTATTAATTGCATTAAATGATATTAGCTATTGTTTGATTATTTATTGTACACAATTGTGCATTTTAATGAATTTAATGATTAATCAAATTATATCACTCATCGAATGGATAATAATTTTAAAGAATTTTCAAAAAAAAAAAAAAAAAATGAAAGCACCAAATTCTATAGTTTATGCATTAAATATTCAAAATTATAACAAAATTATTAAATTTTGTACTTTTTTATATATTAAATATTAAAAATTTATAACAAAAACACTAAACAAACAAACAAATAAAAAACACAAATTTATAATAAATAAATAAATAATTTTCTATTCATTTACCATTTCGATTCTTTAATCCACCATGAAATGCTGTTGTTGTTGTTGTTGTTGATGATGCTGTTGCTGGTACTGCTACTGATGATGATGATGATGATGATGATAATAATGAATATGAAATTTTTGATGGATTACGAAAATCACAATTATCAAATGATGATAATTGTTTAATTGATGACTTATCATATGATGTATACTGAGATGAGTGTGAATCAACTGAATGTGGTGACTGAGAGGTACACGACTCTGGACTACTGATATTTTCTATCGTATTTAAATTTACATTTGAAATTGAAATATGTTTTGGTGCTGATGTAGCCAATGATTCAATGCTAAATCGTAGTGGTAAATGATTAGTAGTAGTAGTAGTAGTAGTACTAGTAATAGTATCAGTAACAGTATCAGTAATAGTAGTAGTAGTAGTAATAGTATTATCAGTAATAGTAGTATCAGTAGTAGTAGTAGTAGTAGTAGTAGTAGGAGTATTGAATGAAGTAATCGTTGATAATTTTGATGTTATTTGATTAGGAATTAAATTAGACGTTGATGGTTTACAAATAATTTTATCAGTTGTATCAATACTAATATTATTTGTAAATTTATTTATATTTGCATCCAAATCATCATCTTGCTCTTCTGTTATTTGCTCAATAACATGAACGATATTTTTTGCTGAAAAGGAAAAAAAAAATTTTTTTTTTTTCTTCTTAATTGTTATAATTTTATTAAAATTTTATTTATAAAACAAAAAAAAAAAAAAATGAATGAATAATGAAACAAAAATTAAATAATAAATTTTTTTATTTTATTCAAAAAAACAATTATTTCTTTTTTTTTTTAACGTTTTTTCTATTAAATATCATTTATTTTAAAATAATATAAATGCATAAGAAAAAGAAATAAATTGAATTTAAAAAAAAAAAAAACATTAAGTAAAGATAATATTTATTCATATGTAAAAATATTTATTAACTAATTTTGGTATATTGTAATAATTGCTAATAACAAATTGTAAAATGATAAAATATGAGGAAATTTTAAAAATATGAGAAAAATATGTATAATTAAAATCTAATAAGAAAATGATCAAAAAAAGATAATTAATTGGGACATACTACTATTATTATCACTATTATCATTGCTACCCTTGATTAATGAGATTTTATTAAATTATCAATATTATCATCCTTATCATTTCTTATCATTCATTTATATATTATATGGATGTATATATCATTTCAAGGTAAGATTAATCATTTTTATACTTACTTCATATCAAATAATCATATAAACTTTAAAAGTAATTTACTACTAACTAATAGAATACAATTACTGATTGAGCTATATGAATATCATTACCTAATTATCTAATATTTGAAAGAAAATTTCAATTTATTTAACAATCACTGGAAAGATAAAAATATTGGACATAAAAATGTTTACAATCCTAAAATATATTTGTAATTTTATTTATTATAAAAAAATTAGTAACAAATAATTTAAGTGTTTTTTCATTTTAATATTACAGATTAATTAAAGAAAAGAAAAAGTTAACACATAAAAGTTTAGAATAACTAAAAATAAATGAAAAGGAAAAAGAAAATATAAATAATGTGTTAATGAGGAATTCAATTTAAATGTCCAATTTATTTATATTAAAAAGAAAAAAATTCTTTTTTTTTTTCTTAAATTCTGTTTATTTATGATATATTCAAATTTTATTTGAAATTTGAAAATATTTTTTGAAAAAATTGCAATTTTTAATTTATAATATGATAAAGTAATGTTTGAATGATTACTGTTTATTTTTTTATTACTAAATTGATATTTGTTTCAACGAATAAAGAAATTTAAAATATGAAATTAAAAAAGACAAACAAAAATGAGAAAATTAAAATGGCAAAAAAATTAAAAAAAAAAAAAAAGGGATTTCAATTTAAATTGAAGTAAAAAAAAATTAGAAATATGCATATATGGAATCTTTTTCTTTTTTACTATAAATTGGAGTTTTATTATTTTCTTTTCATTGTAAATTTTAAATCGATGAAAAAGAAAAAAGTTCAACAAAGCTTAACTAAATAAGTTCATAATTAAATATAATAATTTGTGTTGAGATTTTCTTTTTTTGTGATGAATAAATCTGACTAAGATTATATCAATTTATAACATCTGCCATCAATATCCGATAATAATACCTACCAATCATTCCTACTTTTTTCTTTTTTTTTCATTTAATTGACCTTGTTTTTTAAATTAATCAATAGAAAATAAAAAAAGAAATGAATAAAGTAAGAAAGAAAAAAAGAGCAATACAATAATAATAAGTAAAAAGTAATAAAGTAACAAAGTAAAATAATAAGTAAAAATGCACAATTGTCAAATTTAACTTTATTTAAAGTTTTAAAATTTGAAAAATATTTATTATATTTATTTATTATATGCATTCTTACATACTTACTCATTTAAGAATGAAAATATAAGAAAAAAAAAATGTAAACAAAATTTTGATAAAAAAGTTTGCAAAATATAGAAATAAACGATGAGAGAAGGAAGAATGAGAAAAAGAAGATAAGAAATGATTAATTTTTGAAATATAAATTATAAAATGTAAAAAAAAAAAAAAGAAAATAACAAAACTGTAAAAAAGTTCAAAAAATTTTTTACATAACTTACAGTTTGTACTAAATTTGTTCAAAAAATAATAAATTAGAAATTGTTCTAAAATTTATTAAAAATTGCTAATAATTGCATAAATTACTCATTTATTATCTATCTTAAGAGTTATACTTTGATTTTGTTAATTCATAAATTGTTAATAAAAAAATTAATTATGTAAAGTAAATTTCAATAAATATTAATTTAGCACAGAAATAAATACCAGTAACAATAACAATGAAATTCTTGATAAGCTATTAAAATATTCTTGAATTTTGTTTATTTTTACATATATTTTGTTTACAGCACAATTATGACTGATTACTTACGATGATAACTACTAAAGTAAACATATTTTTTAATAAATTGAATTGATATTTAAAAAAAAAAAAAAAAATGATATTTTAATAAATTGTAAATTAAAAAAATATTTATTTCACATATCTTTTACAACTTAATTTATAATTAATTATTTACAGTTTAATTTATAATTCATTATTAAAATAAAGAATGTTTTTTAATATATTAATAACTTATAAGTTAAAAATTAATTCAATGTTTTTTCTTTTTTTTTTTTCGCATGAATTTTTTAACAAATGATATTAATTACGTATATATATGATGGATAATTTGTTAAAAAAGCAAACAGATTGAATGAATAAATTAATTCGTTAAAAACAAATGAAAAAAAAAAGAAAGTAAAAAAGAAAAAAGAAAAAAATGAGTAAATGAATACATTAAAAATTTTTGTATGTTAAATTTTTTGTTTTCATGAAATTATCATTTTTTTTTTCTAAAAATAATGAAATTTCTTTAAAAAAAAATTTTTTTTAATAAAACAAAATGAGCCTAAGTTAAAATAATTATAATATGGCCTAAATATAAACTAATTAATTAATTAATATTATGAAATTTAGAAATGAAAAATAGTAAAGAAAAAAAAAAAACAAAAACAAAAATAAAAATAAATTACCATCTGGTTTCCGTCGTCGTTTTACATTGTTTATATAAGCATTATTTGTTTCATCAGTATTACGATTACTATTTTTGCTACAACAATCATTTGTTATCAATTTGTGACAATTTGATGATGATAATACCTCAATTGGTATTGAATTATCATTTCCTGATGATGACGATGATGATGATGATGATAATGATCTACTACATGTTAATGGTGTTATTTCCGGTTGTTTGATGCATAAATTTGAATCATTTTTTACCGGATCATTTGTAACCGTTGATGTAAGTGATAAATCTTTTGATGATGTAATTGTTGGTAAATTTTGATGTAAATTTGTTGCATTTGTTGTATGATGTAATTTTGTCATTGCTGCAAACAGAAAATGTGGCGTTGCTGTCATTCCTGAAAAATATTTGAAGGAAAAAAGGAAAAAAAAAATTAATATAAAATTTTTAAAATATATTTCAAAAAATACATTTATTATTTAGCAAATTCTCATAATTATTTACATTATATTATTTTATTATTTTTAACATAAATTCTAACATTTTACATCGAATTATTTCATACAAATTTGCAAATTTCGTACAATTGTAGCATTCATTTTAAATTAGTAATATAAATTTTTAATTATATATGTAATTTATAGGTAAATTATTAGTACTCAATAATATTCATT